ATCATTTCAGCATAACAATTTGTAAGATATACTTATTATTATTTATAAATTCTATTGCTATTATATATTACTATTATCTCTATTGTTATTATTATTATTATTATTAAAAAGTAAATAGTAAATAGAAAATACAATATGAAAGCAATTATCAGTAAATCCTGCGGATGAGATAATTATCGAAATTAAAACTTGAATCATATTTTTTGAAAAATAAATGAGAATAAAAAAGAAATGTTATTATCAATCAGAGATAAAAGTGTTTTGAAAAATTAAGACAGATTTTAATCGTCAAATTTTTACTTTTCATTTTAACATTATTTAAAAAGTAAAGTTGACGGAGTGAATACTTACTTTCACTAACATTTATTATTGTTGCGTTACTTCTATTTTTTCTATCTCTTGTAATCAATGCAATTGATCAAAAGAATTGATCATTTGCACTGATCTGTTAAAGAAATATGCGAGGAACCAAAGCGGAAATTAAGTATTCTTATTAATAATTTCTGAATTTTTGAATATATCTCAAATGTAATATCCAATCAGTGCTGTTTACAATATATTTTCAACTTTTTGCTGCTTAAATCATAAATTTATTTACAATTAAAATCTAAACTCAATGCTTAATCTTTGCTTGCGATTGCTTGCGATTATTTGCGCATTACTTTTACTGATTGCATACGAAAATATTTATTTCTGAATGATAAAAATTATGCCAAATTTGGCATTGCAATACAGTAAAATATATTTAGTAAATTAATAAAAATAATCATTTTATTCTTAAAAATTTTGCAAATAAATGAAAGAATATTATAGACAAACCATTTGATAATCCATCATTTCATGAATTATAATTTCACTTTGATAATTTTTTTAATTTTTTTTCCAAAAAAAACAGAGATAATTCTTAGAGTCGATTGCTCCCTCAGGCTTTTTACAATTATTCACATGAAAACTTTATATCATTTTTCATAGAAGAAAATTTGTTTATTTCAGAATTCCTTCCCGCTAGTATTCGAGTTGGCATACACATTTCATTTCATACTTCTTTCATCGAGAAGTATTCATTATACTTATATTTGTGCACCAAAATTTGATTGTTTTTCAGTACAAATGCAATTTCAATGTCATTAATTTTTGCAAAAGTTGCATAGATTTTTTTTAGATAAAAATTTTAATCATTCTGCATTGGTCGAACAAAATTGAGATGTCATCAGAATGCATATTTTTAAAGAAAAACAGATACACACACGCACACGCACACACACACACGCACACACACACACGCACACACACACGTTTAGAGACATAACATGCAAGTAATTGCAATTTCTGAACATGTCATTATGACTTTTTCATTAATATCTCTTAGACTGCTAACTAATCAAATACACTATTTGATTACTTAATATGCAAAAAGTACTGTAGAAAATTGAATATGAAATAAATTCTGTAAATTGATGCCAGTGAAAATTTTATTTGAAAAAGCAGAAAAAGCTAGCGAGAAACAAGACTGTATTACAAAAAGAAAAAAACTCAAAAAATTTATTAATACAAGAAGATATGAATTTAATATAAGAAATTAATTATTTATTCATACTGAATTACTAAATAAGAAGTTTGTTTCAGACTTTGAAATAAATATAATAATAAATTATAATGAATCAAATCAACAACTGATTAATCCGTTTGCATATGAAAAAATTAGCCAGAAGATAAATTATGCAAATGAGTAATGAATGTACTTCTTTATTACTCTCTTTCTGAGTTCATAATATTTTTACACTAAATTATTAAAGTAACTAATTTTTACTAATTTTATTATCAAAACTGCAATTATCATTATCACTCACTGTTTTAGAAATCAAATTCTAAATTCAGTAAAGCAATCATTCATAGTTTATAGTTTATAATAGTACTTCAACTTTTCACTTCATTGGCAACTTTTAAGAATTTTCTGTAAAATCTACAAAAAATCTCACAAAATAAGTACTATAATTATGGCAGTACTAGAAAGTTACTTACTTCGTTATTGGCTTTGTTTTGTTTTTTGCAAAAATTTTGGAAAAGTTTAAATTATTTTGGATTTTGGAATTATTAGTATTCAAAGCAAAAATATTCAAAAATGGTTTCTTCTGTAAGACAATAAAAGAAGTAACAGAATCGACGGAAAGTCTAATTTCTGGAAATTATTGCTAACGTAATCAAATCCATCTTGCTGTCCTTCACTCAACTGTTTTGAGTTCAAATTCGAATTCCATATTGGGTCAATTTGAATGAGAATTATTGTGCAAATACTTCGACAATATTATGCCTCTACTTGCAAGTATTCATTTTTTGTGCACTCCTTTCAGATGTAATAATTTTGAACAATTTTTGATTAAATTTTGCATTTTCTGACATAAATTTCAATTTGAAAGATATAATTTTCAGCTCAAAACAAAAAATACGCGACAAAATTTTGAAAACGTGAAACATCACGTCATTTGTACTTAAATGATATGAATAATTAAAATAAGATAGAATTCGTTAAGAAGACACTTAATTAGTTAGTTAGTTAGTTAGTTAATTAGCTGTAAATAGTTATAACTGCTGAAAATTATTCATATCTGCACTTTTCATAGTGATAATTAAGTGCAAATTTATTATTTTAAATTAAAAATTTATTAATTACTTATTATTTTAATTAAAATAAGTGATAAGTTTACTTACAGAGAGTACTAATCAAAAACACAACAAATTTAATAAATTTTTTTGATTATGATTTGTTTAATTTTTCTACTCTTCTTCAATATGCATCGAACAACAAATTATACAGATGATCTTTGTCAGTTATTATTGCACTGATGAAGAGTAGAAATAAATCGTAAATTCCGTGAAAACTTTTCGAGAAAGATTCTTCTTAAATTTGGATACTACACTGATTGTATCATAAGTTTCAATTCCTCATGTCATAAAAGCTTAAAAATCAACCTTATTAGTTCCATCATTTCAGTTCCATAGAAGTGATACAGTTCCTCAATGAGATTCTAATTTTACTATTGAGAAGTGTGAAATTGACAAAAGTAACCATTTAGACATTGTATTGTAATAAGGTCAGCGAAAAACCTCCAGTGTTACAGTCACTCATTGATTGGACTTCATATGCGAAGAGGAAAAAAGTCGTTCCGTTGCCGGGAATCGAACCCGGGCCTTGCGGGTGAGAGCCGCAAATCCTAACCACTAGACCACAACGGACTTAGAGAGGTTGGAAAAAAAAACACCCATATATTATCTTTTTTGAATTTAATCTTAATTTTAGTAGCAATCATGTCTGATATAGCAAAAATAATGTTTATAGATACTAATTATCACAGATCAATTGCATGTCATGCGTACACTTCCAATAACGCTTTAAATAACATTTGTATCTCTGAAATCCCTCTCATTAAATAACATCTTGCTTACTTTCAATTTTCTCCATAGCAACAGATCAGATTACAGAATTATTACAGATCAACTGCAAGTAATTTTCCAAATATAGCTGACCTAAAGGTCAAACTTGAATTACCAGAAATAAGTTCTGGCAAAGTTATTTATTCTAGATGTGCTTTATTTAACAACAGCTATCCACCAACTGCTTACTGCTTTTCAGGAATAAAAATGCTTTCAGATAAGTTAACGTTTAAGAAGTGAAACCATGAAGGATAAGTTCAAATGAATAGCTTCGAGTAGGCTGTTTTCGGGGAGTACCAATACTGCCATGCTGTCATCTTTAATATTTAAGATTAAACTTCTCACTACCTTCATTATTTCGGTGAATATAAGAGTGCATAGATTGCATTCTCAACACAGAAACTCCCTACACGTTGGAATTCCGTCCTCCGAGATAGCTATTCACTTGTATATAGAAGTCTCAATATCACTAACCACCCATTTGTTTCATAATTAACTAATGAATCTAATAAATTGCACCTCACAGAACAAAGACTCCTTTACAAACTCTGTCATGTACTTTATTAACCAACATTGCATTTCTGAAATGCAAACTCAGAAAATGGCGACATTCATAATGAAGTAGAGGAGCAAGTACTCATCATCAGCAGTTTGAATAGAAAACAAATGAGGCTTTACTACTTTCAAGCAGTAAATGAAATCAATAAAATTGAAATTCTCCCGTACTGTAAAAATAATTTCGAACTTTATTCACCAGGTCAAAGTTGATGCCGATTCTACTTTGAGATGCATTTATGCAATTACACCATAACTGGTACAACCATAAATCAGCAAGGCTTGCTTCTAGATGATGAGCAATCTGACTTATTATTTTTGAATATAAACCAATAAATAAGTCCACTTCGTTTGTAGTAGAAAGTTCTATACAATTACTTTACTCTGCTTGTTTTCGTGACCTAAGAAACTGAACACAATGTGAAAAACGAACATTCAGAACAGAATTTATAAAGAATATATAAAAGAAACAGAAATTGTAAAATACATTATCAGCAAACATATCAAATTGTAGATTAAAATAAAAGGGTAATAGGGCTAAGGCAAACGGATACGGAACTGCGTTCCAGCTCTGCCTAAATGCCTAATCATCTTGATCACAGTTATTTTCCCAACTTTTGGCAATAAACATAGCTTTTGCAATACCAGAATAAACATTCTAGCAATGTGAAGCTCACTATAGTGAATTACATATAAAGAGCGCTGCATACATCACTATCTTTCTTATGTTTTTATTTAAATGTACAAAATAGAACTAAGAAACGAAGCTACAAACTGCGGCACAGCAAGCTTATCAATTTGTTGTGACAGCACGACAGATCTTCTGTAAAGCATTCTGAAAATTATCACAGTTGTGTGATGACAAGAATAAGAAAAGCAAAGTGAATTCATATTCGAAAGAGCTGTAATCAACCAAGATTAAGATATTTTGCTGGCCGCTAAGCCCGTAAATTACTGTTGCTTGTTCCATATTAGTGAGGGAATGGAGAATTGTAATTGGCTGTTGTTGCAGATTACAGACTTGAACAGCACTGCTTTTTTGTTTGAGGCTCCGCAGTTGGTGAAATTACTATGCCATTTGAGCCTGGTGCCGACATTCCTCTATTGTCACCCGCAACGTGCTTTACCGAAACTGATTTATAGATCTGACAATACATGCTTACAGTTATTTTTCCAGTAATTTATTCGTTTGAAAATTGTTAACAGTTTGAAAGAACAAAGGTTAGAACTAAACGAAACTGTACGATGTAGCCTAATAGTAAGATGATAAATTAGTCCCGAATGGTCTAATGAAAATAAAAAATTCATACAAAGACGAAATCTCAATAGCAATTAGCACTTTACACGGCATCAGGGAATACAATGTTACCGACAATATAAAGTTTTGATAATACCCAAAAAGTAATATTTTCCTACCTCAGTCAAAATATTTGTAAACGCAGCTTCTACATTTGTGCTGTCAAGAGCAGATGTCTCGATGAATGACAACTGATTTTTTTCAGCATACGCTTTCGCTTCATCCGTAGGCACTGCACGCAAATGACGCAAATCACTCTTATTTCCAACCAGCATTATTACTATATTTTGATCTGCATGATCACGTAATTCCTAAAGTTGGCAGTTGAAATGATACTGATAAAGTAATTAGTAATTAAGGATTGCAATAACTAGTACTACATATCTGAAATGCAAACATCTTATTGATTAATTAGTTTCCTTAAAAAATGAAAAGTAATGCCTCCATTTCCTCCCAAATTCGCTCAATATGAATAAAAATATTAAAAAAGCAACTTCCTTTATTTGATAACACTTCTAAAGCAATGCATTATGCAGAACAATAACAAATGAGAAATTAAAAATGAACCTTGAGCCATCTTTCAACATTTTCATACGTAACATGTTTAGCAATATCATACACCAAAAGAGCACCAACGGCACCTCTATAGTAGGCAGAAGTTATCGCTCTATATCTCTCTTGTCCTGCTGTATCCCATATTTGAGCTTTCACTGTTTTTCTTTCAACCTAGAATCGTAAACTTTTATAAAAATATTACAAAATTTAGAAGTTAATAATTAAACTACTGCTTATATGAAGCAGATTTACACATGAATTATGTACTGACATACTAAAGTAGCGAAACATACAAAATAATGCACAATACCAGCCATCATAAGACAATATTTTGTGCAAACTGACATTCTCAATATTTCACATGTTCTGCCTAGACTGCTTATAAAGTTTTCACAGAAAGCTTTACATTTCTATATTAAGATTGCTGAAGTATTATGAAAAACACAAAAATATCTAAACATCAGCACTTGGTTTCCAATTTTTTAAATATGTAACATAAAGACAAGACCAATACTACCTAAAAATTTCTCACATTGGCTACAGAAAAAACAAATCAACCTGTATACTCCTTGTTGCAAACTCAACACCGATCGTTGATTTCGATTCCAAATTAAATTCATTCCGGGTAAACCGTGAAAGCAAATTGGATTTTCCAACGCCAGAATCCCCAATCAACACAACTACAATAAAATAATATAAAAAGCAGAGCTATTCCATTATAAAAATTAAGCATTAAGCCTGAATATAGTGATGATTAACGGCGGATTGTTTAGAAAGTAGACAAAACAAGGCTAAAAGAAAAAATTAAGGAAAACAAGAACAAATGATCAAATCATATATGATCTGAATTGAAATCGCAGTTCATGATCATGTTAACAAAAGTATTTGAGAAGATACCTTTGAACAAATAATCGTATTCATCGTCACGTGAACCCATTTAATGAATTTCCTGAAAATACAATACAAATAAAATATGATCAGTTGATAACAAAAACTTTACTTCAACAATTCGGAAAGAAATATGACGAACAAAAGCTGACAAGCACCAATTCATGACGTTATTAATATATTCTTACTCAAGCTTTCAGTACCTTCAATTCTTTATGCTTGCATTTTTTAATTAATTTCTCGAACTGAAATCAATCCTTCACACTTATATCACTATTGAATTGATCCTTGTTATCTTTTTTTTATTTGCATTCCAAAATACACCAATCAACTGCAATGAACTCGAAAAATTCGAGGACAAAGTTGAGATTTAATAATAAGCTTGGCAAAATAAGAGATCAAGATTAAAAATACATCACCAGCTATACACATTAAGAGGCTTATTGAATTTTATTTCGGAGGGAAGTATACCAGACAGAAATCCACTAACAATCTCCAAATATAATAACATTTTGCATATTAATTAACTGCACATGCCATGCTTAGAATACGTAATTTGATTTCTTTAAGATTAAGGAAAACTACATGAAACTATGACTACAAGCGTCAGAAAGTCAGATACGAAAATACTGCATTTTATCACAGCAATACTAGATATGTTAATATATAATATGAACTGAAAAGTAATTTTAAATTACTTAAAGAAAAAGTGATAAACAAACAATGGTGGGAGTGCTAGAAAATCTATACATTTGTTAAACGGTAGAAAAACAGCGCGCTACGAAGGAAGATGACATGTTTTCCAGAAGATTGCTAGGTATCAAATGATAAGCATATGACGAGTAATTGATTGTATTATTAATCGAATTATAAAAAATATCTGTAAATAAAATGAAAAATAAGTGAGGGGTGATACAATGTTTCTTCGTTTAGAATAATTTATGTTTATAATAATTAAACTCACGCGATGGAAGTAATTTAATCTGATGTAAACATGATCAGTGCCGTTTACGACAGTCAAGTGATAATTATCAGTAAATAGTACAAAGTATAAAATTATCATTAAAATTACTTCAAATTATTATTAATATTATATGATTTACGTCATATCATATAAAATATATTTACAAAAAATATTTGGGCCAAAAAGAGAATGAAATCAAAGCAGCATAATATCAGTATCATGCATTATTTAGAAACAAGTTATTACTGTAATGACAGAAAAAAAAGATAAAGTCCATTCATGCAACAAAATGCTTAGATAATAGTACGTAAAATACTGGTTCAGCTAAAGTGAAGACAGCAAAAAGATATCAATAATTTTATATGAAATAAACAAAACAGAGAGTTACAAACCCTTCCTAC